CCCCCAAAACCCCAAAACCCCTAAATGAGGCATCATATTGAATAAAAATTGGTGATATTGTTTCATTATATTATTATTCACTAATTATATACATGATTAATTAAAGTTAATTATATAAAATTATGCGATTGAGTCTTGAAAATTCTTATTGATTGTTGATCTTTCACTACTACATTTTTCTTGTTTTGCATTTAAACCAAACTGATCTTATGAGTGGACTCACAAGTATGTCCCAAATGACTATCTCAAATGCAGCGATGTAACCAATTACCTACAGACAATCCATCATTAAGTCGCAGTTGTGTGAATTGCTTAACTAGAAGTAGGGTATCAGATGTCCTGCTATTATGAGGCACACAGATATAAGTAGGTGAATGATCTTAATGAGCTTAATGTGATTATTGTCTAATAGGGCAACTACTTTAACCTCTAGTATTCTTAACACCAAGATAGTGAATCCAAAAATGGATGAAAGTGCATATGAGTCTCCACTTGGTACAGTCAGAAATAGAATAGGTACAGTGAATATATGATACAGCTAGCTGATATTGGATAAAGACTTTAGAACTCTTGAAATCATTTCCTCTCCTAGCATGAATCCTAGGAGTCTGTGCCTCATTATCAAGTGTCTAAAGAATATATACTTGAAAGACTCCTGAGAGGCTTTAAATTCTTCACATTGTTTATTGTGTGCTTCTATAGTCTATGTAGACTCTTTGATGTTGATGATCTCTTTTGAAGGCTCAAAGTTGTTGACCTAGTTAGTCTCTTAAAGCAACATTAGTTTCTGAGCAGACTTTAAAACAGAATTTGGAGCATTTATAGAGTAGTTAGGAGTAGATTGACTCTTTATTGTTGAGTTGATAATAATAGGAGTTTGGTTTTGATGTACACTAGATTTGTGTGAACTAAGAGTATTTACAGCTACATCAACTTAAACATCATCGTTTCTATTTTGAGAGAATGTGTCATCAAAATCTAGGTCTTATTCCTCTGTAATGACTCTTAGATTATCTTCTATAACTGGGGTCATGATGCTATTACTTTAGAAGTTGTTTGAAGATGATGATTCTTCTCTTGGAGTTTAGGCTTATCTTGTTATGTTGCTATTATTGCTACTGTTCTTATTCACAGCTCCATCCTCTGTTCTTTCGGTCTACATTTAAGGCTTTTGCTTTGGCTCTATCTTTGAAGTGTTAGCCCTAGATTTATCTTTGCAGTCTAGGATTAAAGATATCAAGAGAGTGAACACCAAATAAATGTCTAATGATCCAACTATAATGAGGGGATATCTTATTACTTGTTCTTCCTAAAGTTCAAATACTGCCACATGATTCATTTAAGAAAGCCTGGTTATACATAATACAGTCATCTCATTACTATCTTCAGTTACTTAATTCCTTATGGTTTAAATAGTTAACCATTGCTTGAAATAATAATCATACTACTTGCAAAAGAAATTATTTGGATTGTGCATCTTCTCATGACTTTCCCCTTAATGATTCAATTTAAAGGCAACCTGAGCCATTATAACCTCATCAAATATTTCTATCTCATTAATTTGATTAAAGATACTTAACTTGCTTATCTAAGTGTTATCTATTTCTGTAATTTCATTTTAAGCATTAGTATTATTAGTAAATGTACTATTAATGAATTATTTGTTGTTGTTTTTATCATGGGGCTATGTCTAGATAGCAATCACATCACTCTTTATTTTATAATCATTCATATGCTTAATAATATTTGTCGCTTCATTTATTACTTGTTAGCTTTGATAAACGAAAGTTTTAATAATTGCATCTTTGGTATATGTTTTATTCTCAGTCTAATTCTCATGAGAATACGTGAATAAAGTGACTTCTATTGGACTATCAGCATGGTTTTGATGATCAATTGAGAAGCTCAATGGTTTTTCATGGAGACTAGAGATATTTACATATTATACATGGCTGCTTATTTGATTTGATTCTACGACTATAGAATCTTCATGTGAATGAGTCTCAATATCAAAATTATTGCTCTGCGTATTATTGCTTTGAGTATTGTTTTCTTAACCAACTTAATCAGTAGTAGTGTTTCCATCAATTACTATATTGCTTGAGTTTTGGTCTTGAGGTGAAAAAGTGTCATTCGTCTAGTTAGTTAAATTAGAATGATCAGTTTCTTGGTATATAGATATAGGAATGGTAGAATTATCAATAGTTGAGTTATCAGTGCCATTGCCTTACTCTACAACAAGCTCATCCTCTTGATTTTAGCCATCTTTGGATACTGTTTGCTAATTGCTAGCTTTTTGCTTCTCTGGTAGTGAATTACTTTAAGTTTTAGCAGTTAACTCTTGTTAATGATACGCATCCATAATGGCTTGTAATCTATTTGCAATATCTTACAAGTGAGTAATCTAACTGGCATCTAAGTTGATGAGCTAAATTGCCAACTGGCTATTATTAGAATTTCCATAATTTTAGATCCATAGATTAACATCCTTAACTGTTTAATTCATAATAGGCAACTCTTGTTCAATAATAATATCTGCTGAGCTCTAAATGCATTTGTTGATGGTATCAATAAGTATAATAGCTTGTTTCATATCAAACATATTAGTGAATTCCAAATTATATAAAGACTAGACTATCTTCAATTCATTATTATACCTTACAGAACTAGTATAATTCTTCTTAAATGTAATTATTTTTTGCAGTTGAATCGTACTCTCAATTAGACTCAAAAATTGATTTTATTAATATTCCTGCAGAATCATTGAGGCATTATTATATGTCAAATTAATTTAGATCATATCTGAAAAAATTCCCTTCTCAACTTTATTTTCATAGCAGTCTATATATATCTTGGTATAATTACGCTTAGTACTAATTAAAGGAACTTGGAGTACTATGCTTGAAATAAAGTTCGTTCCTTAAAACTTAAGAATATTGTTATTAAGCTTTACTTTTGTGTTATTAGTACTGAGAGTGCTATTGTCATCAATATATCCATAATTACAATAGTTAGTCTGATTGGTGGAGTTTAACTCTAGGTTAAGTGTAATGTTTGTTACAAAAGCAACCACAGTTGAATTTAAAGTTTAATTATTAGATAATTTTACTGTCTTTAATGGAGTAGTTGTAACTGTTACTTTTGTAGTGTTTTATTCTTATTTTTTATCTTCAATTATGGAGAGATTTTATATCAGTATTCGGCTCATATTTAATTAGCAGTTCTAATACTAGAATAGATCAGTTTTAATCGAAATTTTATTTTTCACTTTAATTTCTTCAAACAAAGCTGCACTTAAGTTTGTATATTCGAGAGTGATGATGTTTTATACATATTTTTGTACTTGTCCAGAAACTAGTTAAACTTCCATATCTCTAGAAAATAAAGCTTTGCTTGATAGTTTATTTCCATTTAGCATTGTCTGTAAAGTGGTATTAGTATCATTCCATACCAATAAGTTCTCAAATTTTTCAGTCTGTAACACCTTCCTTTGATCTATTAATACTCCATATATATCGAATGTAATCTTGTAGGTAAATAAATCTAAACTTGCATTATATGTCTTAATTAAAGAAGATATTGCGGTGGCATCACAAAGACATATACCGAAAGTTTTAGATTCCACGGATAAATCGAGTCTGGAGCCGTATCCACAATTGGTACAGGTCCACACGTCTGTGCACTCTATACATCCGACACTACACTGATTTGGGAACAGAGCAGTGGTATTTTAATCTGTACGCATGGTAAGTATCAACTGATTTGAACACCTTTGGATGAATTTTTGATTATCAGCAATAAATACAATGTACTTGCGGTTGTATGATTCCATGAACTAATCACTGAGAGCTGTCAGTTCGAGTAATATGTTTATTCTGAAGTATGACTTTTGTTGCTTAGTGAAGGAATCAACGTAGGTTTGTTCAATGTGAGATGCAGTAACGTAACAAATGGCATCATTGAACTATTTCGTTAGAGTGTCTTTTGTCTTGTTAGAGATAGATTGTTTTAGGATTAAGTTCAAATAGTCAGGGCAAGATACTTATGTTCTATTATTGTGTTCAATGTCGAATAGATGCTCAACATCTTACATATTCAATGAGATCTAACTGTTTGACGGTGATGAAACAGTCTAGGTTTGATTGTAAGTAAACTGACACTTGCACTACCCATCAGAATCAAGTAAAGTAGAAGATTAACAAACCTGACAACTACTCTAATTTTCACACAGTAAGCACCCAAGTTGGCAGTTTTCATATCTGTTGGAACTATTAAATTAGAGTTTGTATCTCTCTGATGTTAAATCTATTATTGATTTTTCGTAGCAATTCTATTATGTTAGAGTGGACTTCAAATAAAGCTGAGACTCTTATTATCTTAATGAGTCAGAAAGTTACTATGGAACTTATAGAAGGATCAGGCTATTTGATGATAATCTATTTTAGCATTGTAAATTTTAGAAAATAGCCTTGAGATTGTCATTTTTAGTAACAAAATTAAGAACAGAGGAGCAACTAATAGATCCTTCTTGTTGCTTTATAGTAACATTCTAATCTTTAATTATCACTTAGAGATCGTATCGTGGTTCTTATGACTCTAATGAAGAGCTATTTTAAGTAATCTTTTACAGAAAGATTTATTGCTGGATTGTGATCGAATTGTTGCAATAGCATTAATTATCCTGATAGTGATAATCGAGGCCAGGTTTGCACTAGAGGCATTATTTAGTCACTGGATCGCAAGTATCACAACCAGGTCCGCAGTCAGCTAATGATATTGGTTGCTTCGATTAATCGAATGAGATAGTATATTAAGCGTTCAAATCTAGAGAACATTCTTAAGAAAACATATTAGTTTTCAGATTGAGTTAGACTTTCCCTGATACGAACTAACTCAGAAGGAAATCCTAGGCATTTATCAATTCCACAATTATTCTTGAATTATTGAGAGTATATGTTTTGCTATTTACATTATTAACTGCAATCAACTCCTACTGGTCATGAGTAAGCTTGCATTTGATTTCATCTAGCATTCTTAGAGTCTAGTTTAATACATCATTTGAGAAATCTTAATTTGGTTTGAATTCAATTACTTATTTGCAGATTCCATTATTAAAATCTTGATTTATTAATGTTTTATCTATTAGATCAATATTGCTGAGTGTCATTTTTACATTGTTGTCAAATCTATCCAGAGTGGCAATATTTTGCTGAATATCAGTACTTTATGTTAACTAACACTAGCAGGTACCATTCTAAGTTTTGATTGTGAAAGGATTACAGAATTGGCAGGTGCTATTGAAACAATCTAAACAACCAACCATATTACAATTTAGATTTTCAACTTTGGCTTTATCGTTGATTATGGCACCTACTAGCGCTGTTCTGTTACCATCTAGTTTATAATCTAGGGAGACCTTGATTTTACTAGGATCACTTATACATTAACTTATTTGAGTATCATAGAAATATCCTGGTTTGCATTGTGAGCATTAGGAATTACTTTGACAGATGTCACAACCAGTTTAGCAGTCTGCAAAAAAATGATAAAATTATAAAGGTCTTACTAACGCAGCTACTTTGGCTATTGTCAAAAAAGAAACTGTCTTAGCAGACATTTTTAGCATCATAGAATGTCGCACATAACTAATTGGCTTGCTTGGTCAGATTTTCGCATTTCTGTGTTGTAGAGTTATAGTAAAATGTGTCCTAGCACCTAAAGCAAAAATTTTGATTGCCACACATTTGGCAATTCTTTACTGGGCAAACTAAATTGAATCATTGTTATTTTTGCAATAGGATAATAGTGGAGCTTACCTTTACAGAATTTTGAAGTAAGGTCAAAATAGAAAGTTGGTCTACAAACATTGGATGGAATTTTCTGAGGCTGGATCTATGAAGAAGCAGTACTGTATTTTACCAAGTCCTATGCTTATTAATCAGTCAGAGTTGATGTATTATTTTAGAATTTGAAATCTGAACTAGAGGCTTGGCTGAAAAGCATTTCATTTATCCCCTGCATAGTATTTATCATACTATTCCAAGTTACAACAACATTTGCAGTTTACTAATTCACATTACTGAAAAATAAAAAATCACCTATTTTAAAGATTAAAATTGTATCTAAACTTACTTTGAACATCGATGTTCTAGATGCTTGAAAACGTATTGCCAGATATATTTTAATTTATGAAACTTTACACTGAGCCTAGTCTTGATCCATCGAATATCTTTATATTTTGGAATGTTGAATCTTGGATGTTAAAATTAGTTACTAATTTGCCATTAAAAAAATTCCTATTCAATCCCAGATCAATTAGATTCAGCTAATTATTCCTAAAGTTAAAGTTCACGGCATCCTAGATGCTTATATATGACGAGATTAAGCTGGTATTATACTGAGTTTAATTGCACAACTAAGGACTGTAAATATTAGTAAACTTTGAATTAACTATATTAATAGTAGTGATCAGTGCAAGATTAATTAACTGATAAGTCTTTATATCTCTCATTACTTCATCTTATACTGTGATGATAGCTGTTTTCAAATCAATGAAAGAAAATAGCCCAATGGATTATTATTCATTCTTAGTTACTCCAGTCTTATCAAATACTAACCTTTCATAATAATTCTTCTAAATAACAATTGTACCATTTGATTTGCCACTATAATTTATAGCTAGCAGTGAACTCATTGAATTCTAGATATTTGACATATTATTGTACTAAATATTGGTAGTGATAACAGTAGTTGAAGGATGAGCTTCTGATATAAGCAAAATTTAGATATTTTAAGAGTCTAATATAGTATTGTTAGAAATTTCTAATTCAGGCAGGTCTTGATAAAAACCCTTTGGATAATTCACTAAAATCAAAGGTTAGCCGGCAGTCTCTGAGTAATTGTAAAAGTTATTTCCAAAAATTTTAACTTTCTTGTATCCTGTGAGCTTAATCAGAGGATACACATTGCTATCTTAATATCTTTTACCTTCAGTATGAAATAAAACTTCCTGCAGATATGCTTATCTATTTGAGCCATCTCCATATTTAGCATCAACAAAGTAATTAAGTTATGTCAACTTAACTAAACTTCTTATAATGGCTAAATTCAAAGGATTTTATGAGTATACAAGGGCTCTAACATCTACTTAAGAGTATTATACAGTGACATAGTTATTCACATCCCCAGCAACTCTAATAAGAGTGTCAAATTATTCGAACTAAACAGATTATTGATCGTTAAATGAGTCAAACTAGATAACATTGACTCCGCTTATGAGTAACCTCGAATTTTAAATTAGGATATAAGATTAGTTAAATCCTTATGTAAAGATAGTCTATGCTGTCTTAGGAAGATCTGAAAGTTAATAGCTTCTTGGAGATAGTGATCTGCCTATAAGACTGTTGGTATAATCTGACTATTAAGTTGAATTTCTTTTCACTAATCTTAGGATCGGTTTATTCACTTGTTTACTCGTCATTGCTGTAAGATCAGAAATCGAACCTTTAACTGTTATTGTGTTATTCACTTAGTAAAGAGGCATAAATCCAATCATTAAATCATGTTAAGCAACGAATGAATCATCCCTGCTCATTAAATTAATGTTTATCTAGTATGTCTGATATTGGACTCTAAAGTTGAATACCTCCATAAATGCTTAAGCTATATTCGAGTATGGTAAATCGATCGTTCCAGCTTCAAATTTATTGATATCTTATGTATCTTTGACATAAATTTCAATTAACCTAAGAAATGGGTCTGCTGGTCTACAATACAAGTAGGTTTCATTCGTTTTGTCTGATATGCTCATTTAAGTATTAGTAGCATTGATAGGTATAGATATATTACTGTTACATGTAGCGACACATTAACTTGAATTAAAGTCATAAAATCTATTGCTCGGGCATTTGAATGATGCAAAATCTGTGGAGCTTAGCATTCTTCTCTGGGTTTAGATTCTTTCCTAGCCATATTAGTTATCTTCTTAAAAGTCTTATTCTATATCCAGCTCTAGATCAGGGTAATTAAAGGATTTTTCCTAGTTATCAATGAACCAATTTTAGAATTCTTGAATTTCCTCTTGATAGAAATTCATAGATTGCTGAAAATTATCTTGCTCGACATTATTACTATTTTCATTATTAGAGAATGCTTACGAATAATCTCATAAGTCTTAGCATTCCACATGATTCATTGTTATTATCAAGAGTATAATTGATGTCCATATTTTTAAAGATATGTTATCTTAGAGTAAGGTCTTGAGTCTGTGAGGCCTAATTTGAGTAAATTTGTAAAACTTTAGCATTAGATATTTAATTATAGTTTTGTCAGTTGTTTATTGGTTATTTATTAATTCATCTAATGATTCCAATTATCCCTAATTATCTGAAATGACTCGCTTATGGGGTTTTGGGGTTTTGGGGTTTTGGGG